CAGGAGGAATCTTGTAGCCACGCGCAAATGTACGCTGTAAAACCTCGATAACCGGCCGAATCTTCCATACACGATCCGTGCTAGCTTGAGGCGACTTGTTGTTGGAGAAGTGCAAGTATCCCATTATGTGGAAGAACCGGTTGCGGGACATGTACTTGCCGAAGCGTGGCGTTGGCAACGCATAAGCCGGTGTCAACTCCCAGTGACCAGCAATCCCCTTTCGCACTGGAGACAGCATCCTTGCAATGAGAAGCGCGATGACGCGCAAAACCTCCCACGGTTCTATCGGCTTCACACGTGCTAGTCGCCGACGAATATCTGCGAGGTTCTCTACTTCTCCACCACCACGACGCTGCTTCGCTTGAATCGCCTGCGCACGACCCGGTATCGACTGCGTGTGGTAGCGATTGCTCTCGACGGCAATCTGTCTCCACAATTTTGGCGGTAGGTAGTAGAATAACAGCGCCAGTGGGTCTTCAGCCACTCCAAGGACGCTCTCAGATGGTCCATAAGGCCCGTCGTAAAGGTCTTCATACGTAGGATTGTCTCCAAATTTGGACTGGTCTACAAATAGCACATCAAAGTGAGTTAGATAATGTTAACATTATGTTAGACAACGACGGAATAATAGTTGCGTATGTTGAATAGCGTTCAACATAACTTACCATACTCCCAGCCAGAATGTTTCATCTCCGCCAAACGCGCCGCATTCATCGCCACCGACTTGCAGAACGTGTCCGGTAGTTCATTTTCAACGCAATCGGCTAACTCCTCATCAGAGAGTTCTCCAAGCTTTCAATCTCCTTCCCACTCACTGTCCGCGTCGTCATCGTCTGAATCAGGACCAGATTCCTCTTCTGATCCGAGGCCAGTGCACTCACGTGCACCAGCCGCCATGATGTTAGGATCACCGTCGACTACGCAGGCGACAGGGAGATGCGGGGCAGCTGACGCAGCACCGGTGTCTGTGGTGTCACTTATGGTGCCTTCAGCTTGAGCTTCGCGTTCTGGACTGTCTTGTAGGACGCGGCGGCGTCGTTTCGGGGATCTTTGCGTAACCGGCGCCTGCTTGTTCGTCCGAGGGGGGCGCAAGGTCTCCACAGCGCCTTGAGCATCTCGCACAGGCGTTAGAAGCGCACTTGAAGCCACAGTTGAAGCCACAGCCATCACCACGTCTGCTACAACTTCCTCCACCTCTGGTTCCACAGAATCTTCCTCATTTTCTGCAACAGGTATTACCTCTTTAGCTTCGTCCGTACTCGCTGTTGCTTCTGTCTCTTTGGGTGCTGCCGGCTCAATATGTGGACCTCTAGACTCTGCTATCTCCATGGCTGTCGTCGTAAGTTTCACCGCCCTCTTCCTAGACTGCTTCTTCAACGCACGCCCCTCAGCGCCATGCTTTGGCTCTGCTGCTGACTGCCTCTCGTCGTCTCGACGAAGGCGACGCTTGTGGCGGTCACTGAGGGCTGCCTTGCACAACCGGGTCTCTTCCGCTGTCAGCGTCCGTCGTGGCATCTTGCCAGACGTCGCCACCATTCTGGTCTGCTGCCCCCGCGGTCGTTTTGAAGTATGAGAGAGTTTTGTGACTGTCGGCCATCCGTTGGTGGTGGGTGACACCGCCTCTCTTTATCTCGTTCAATCAGGAATCCGGTCCAGCTACCCTAAGCCTGTGCATCCGGCCGTTTTAGGCTCCCACTTTTGTCTTGACTTCAGTATTGAGCTTTCCTGCGCTCTCTTGAGATCTGTTCAATACAAACTCCAAGTCAGTTTTTCTCTTATGTTTAGCCGCTAAACATAACATAGATGCCGAAAAAAACTGAAAGAAGCTATACACCTCTTATGTTTAGCGGCTAAACATACGGGAACTAAGGGGTTAATACAGCACTGATGTACCTGTGGGGCTAGGCAGGGATTCCGTAAATACAATATAAAGCTGCTGGAAGTATTACTGTCAAATACATAACTGATTGAGGCTGCCGCTGCAGGAAAATAAATAACTGAAAAACGAGCACATTGTAAAATAAAATACTGCAATCAAGTCAAAACTGGACTGTATTAAAGGAACGATTTAAAGACTAGCCTCTACTGTTGACACGTCCCAATATATCGCGTTGACTTTCAGGAAAAGTATCATTTCCAAAGTCATGGGCGACAAGCGGCGTCGTTGGTGGCGTAAAACACCACGGGCGACGCTGAATAGCCTTGTGACTTTATTGGACGTCGGAGGTATAGCAGAAACCAACCTGTACGTCGACTGGTCTGCTGCAATTTTGCGACGCTTTAAAATGCTGTCAGCAAATCCGTCCGTCCCGGTAGAGGTCACCACTTCGCGAGTCGGTGCAGGAACTTCAAACGGCTTCAGTTGCGCTGACTCCTCCAAAGTCAACATCGCTGCCTCACCGGCGAGCACTTTGACTACAGCAGCTTCAAAAGCCGGTGAGTGCACGATGTCGGCGTAAGGAGCTGTAAATAAAAAAAACGGAATTTGTTTCATACGTTAGTTAATACATAAGTAAAATAAGGAATACCAGTACAAGCACTTACACAGATAATTGCGAAATGACGGTCGCTCCTCCAGCAATCCGTCAAACAAATCCCGAGCGTCCAAAAGTGTGAGAGTGTCCGACTGTAATTTCTTCGAAATCGACTCCACGCAACGTAGCTTAGCCAGCAAGTCCTCTAGCCGGCGATGGGAAGATCTGGACGGCAGCAGGTCCGCAATATCGTCGTCGTCGGCAGATAGAAACTCTCGCAAGCGAACATAACGATCCAGCATCGTGAACGTCGATGACCAGCGCGTATCTTGACGCAGGACCGCAGCCAATGGAGTTTTGAGTCTATTTAAAAACGTAAAACAAAGTTTTAGTCCAATACAATTATGAAAACATTTTTGCGATACTTAAATCACAAATCACAAAATTAGCGTACCTCAATTTTGCTGCTTGGTTCACAGTACGTAGCTTGCGCATCAGCAGTTGCACTTCTTCGAGGATATCCTCATGGGGACGGTGGAAATCACGCACAGCAAGATTTAATCTATGACTGGCGCAGCCAACAAGCGGCACCTCCATGAGGTTTGCGAGCCGCTTATTGACTGCGCAGTTGTCACCGACTAAGAATCTTATACCTTGAATGGTTTTACCAAAAAATGGCAAAAAACGGTCGATAGCCCTTAGATGGCCCTCTGCGGTTAGGTTGTCGTCCGGCTCATCCATAACGGGAGCGATGGATAACAGAGGGTATTGTGGGCCGCTAGAGGTTTCGTAGCACGCGTAAACGCCCAGGTATTGCTCGGTCCTGAAGCTGCAGTCGTCGAGTATGAGTCCAAAGTCCCTCGGCATATCGCGTCCGATCGTTGTTTCTACGACCTTCGTGACACCTTCCATGTTGGTAAGCAGTGCGTCTACAGACACATTCGCCAAATTAGAGTACCTGTCACAAAATTGATCAAATTAAATTAGCCCATTTTACATTTAGTAAGACTAAAATTTGTGTACGTACCGGCGCGTTGCCTTTGACTCGCAAAAGGAAAGGGGCAAGTTGTCCATTACGATTTACTTGAGCCATGCGTATTGATTGGAGGCTTTTTGGCTCACCCAAGATACAAGAGTCCTCGTAGCAGCTTCGGAGGCATCACGCATGTCGCTCTCGAACCGAGGGTGAGCGGTGCGCACGTGCGTCACCAAATTAGTGTAGCCATTCTTAGCGACGTGCTTGCGTCGTTTTCCGCAGGCCTTACAGGCGTGATACCCAGTCAGGCCGCCTTCTTCATCAAGAACTGGCTTGAAGAAGAAAGCGGCAATTTGCTTCGGCGTGAAAGCCTGGCTGGGCGCGTTTGAGGCGATGAGACTGGCGGACATGTCGTGGCAGGAGTGGGTGCGGGTGTAGGCTGGGATGTAGTTTTGAAAATGGCAGTTGTTACTTGTCTAGATTGTCGTGGCAGATCACAACCAATCCTTTTGGTTGGAGGTGAGAGACCACAGCCAATTCTTTTGGTTGGTGGTGGCAGATCAAAAAATAAGTAGTCACAAATTTTGAATTTGAAAAATAAGTTATGAGTACAGGACCTTTCTGGATGCACAATAAATTATTTTATCGATCAGTAAATATTGCGTTTTCAGTTTATTTATTTTTCGGTATCCCTGGGGCTAGGAACACACATTTGCATAGATGCTTTATAACACTGTTATTTCATGTGAGCGGAGCAGTACGACAGAAAAAAAGAAATGTAAAAAAGTCTTGTAGTAACTGATTCTGTTTTGAGCTAATGAAGGAATATCTCTGCATAAATATGTCGCTGGGTAGCTATGTGAGAAATACAGCTTCCGAAGTGCTGACTGGATATTGATCTAGACGTCTATTGAGCTCGTTACCAAGATCGGATACATTGTTCTTTGCATGTCAATCTACAGTGCAACCCCCTACAAAAGTGGTCGAAATCGGAGATTGCCGTTCAACTTAAGCGAAACCCTATTAATTATGTAATTGGACCTCTTTCCATTTATATATATCCGAACACTCTGTCCTATAATAAACAAATTGAATGCAATGGGTTACATACTGTATGGACAGCCCTACAGGGATATATTCGCCAGTATGTGAACAGCCCAACTGGTTTATAGAAATAAAAAAAATGAAGTACACATCCCTTATAAAAACAGATTTGGACAGAAAGATATGACGCCCGAGGGTTTTTTTTCGTATGCAACAAGTGTGGACACAAAACAACGACACCGCAGCTAAAAACGATACTCAGCCAATAAGAGGCCATTTTGAGCAAATGATAAGAACCTAATTTGAAGTTTAGCACTATTAAATCGTCAGTCTGGGGCCCAACCGGTTACTGACCCCTCTTTTTATTTAAGTGACGAGAGTTCAATTCCCCCCACGACGGTAAAGTTAATCACCCTAGCGGTGACCTTTGTGTCAGGGTTCCAAGGCAGCAGGTGCACATGCTGACGATCCCCGCCCAGTCTGGACTGCCTTGTCTGCTAAGTATTTTAGAGACCCGCTTTCAGCCAAGCCTTCTTTATAGTGTCCTCACTGACTGCATCCCACGCAGCGATTACACGTTCCACTAGGCGCTTGCGCTTTTCAAGGGCCGACATGCGCTCAATTGCCAGAAGACGCTCACGTAGAGGCAGGTGACCGCTAGGCGCGACAGCGCCGAGCTCAAACACAAGAGTAATAGCTCGCAGCTTCTGCTTAAAAGGACCCATCACCCCGACGTCCAAGGGCTGGAGAACCGACGTCGTATTTTTTGGCAGTGGCACCAACTCCGTGCCCCAAGTTGCCAATGCATCCTCCGGCTCCGTGCTCACGTGACACTGCAGATTGTCAACGTAAAGGGCCATTGGTCCGGGGTGAGTGCTACTCATGAAACATCCCCACGAGTCCTCGACGAAAGTTTCAAGCCACAGTCGACTGTCCATCCACGCATTCCTCTGCACCGCTGTCACTACTCGGCTCGAAATACCGCGCACCTCTTCTTCGACGCGTCCACCAGGTTTCCCTTTGAATATGATGACAGGCCGCAGCTTTGCTCTTCAGCGGACACTATCAGCAACACACTAGCTCGCTCAGAGCGCGTGCGGCCTCTAATCTTGACGCTTTTCTTAGCGCCACGTTCACTAATGATACGAGTAGGCTTAGCATCGTAGTATACCGCAGTCTCATCGGCGTTGAAGATACAGGACCTCGCGTACGTAGCGTTCACCTTCGTTCCCACCTGGCTCGCGAACGCCCGCTGCTCGGCTTCGAGATCTACCGTAGAGAGAATGGACTTCGTGGGGCGGCGGAACGAGAAGCCCTGCTGATAAATGAGCCATCGAATTAATCGCCCTAGACTCTCCTCCTTGTTCCTGGCCAAGGAATCGTTGAGGAAGTCGGGGTACTCCTCTTTGACGAACAGCAACACGTGGGACGTCTTCAAGGGAAAATCGTCGCGGCCCATTTGCTTAACCCATTGTATGAGTTCATCGCAATAAGGAAATGAGTTGACCCTTCCTTGACCACCAACACTGCACTTGGACCTTCGTTTACGATTACACGCATCTCGTATAGCAGCCTCAAGGTATATCCAGCCATGCACCGCAGTGCGTGACTTAATACCGGGTAGCCGAGCCGCTTCAGTGACGGTTACACCCGCATTGATATCGTCTAGCACCTTGACTGGGAGAGCGTTTGTGTGCGCGTTTCGCCGGTCTCGAGCGACAGCTTCAACCACTTTATCCTCCGCCACTTCGACGCCACCCTCTGACACAAAGATTGGGCTGATATCGCTTCCCACGTGCCATTTCACGACTAATTTTGAGTGGCCCCAGCCAGTTTGACCCTGCCACAATTCTATTGGTCAAAAATACTGTATGATTAAACTTTCATAAAACCTCAACTGTCGTTGATTTGTGAATCTTTCTGTCCAATCTGAAATTGCTTTTGCATTCCTTTTGCATGGTTACAAAAAATTTACTATATATAAGTTAGCCCCCCCGCACTTACGGCTATTTCCGGTCCCTGTCTACGACCCCACATGTTGTATATACAACATGTTAAAAATAGGCTAAACTTGAATTTTGTATTGACCTCCGTAAGTACGAATACGTTTTCTGCACAGCGGGAAGATCAGACGCTCGGTGATACATTGATTGCGAGCTTCTTCGCAGCGCTATGTAGCCACGTGCTGTCTACGACACCCACGCTGCGCCAACAAACCTGAAGAAGACGTATATCCAACATATTAGAAGTGTCCCTTTTACAGGGCTTGAACATGCCATGTACGAAGCGCAATGGCTATGTGTACAGTCATCAATGATTGCAACACATTTATATTGAATCAGGTTAGGTATTCATTGACAAGCCCACTCCTACTCGCTATCGTCCTCTCCAGCACATCCCTCCCCACCACTTCTCTCTTCAGCGCCGACATCAGTGTCGGAACCAGCGCCCCCCTTCACAGTACCGCTGCCAGCACCTCCTTCCTCCGCACCGCTGCTTCGGAACCAGCGCCCCCCTCCACAGTACCGCTGCCAGCGCCTCCCTCCTCCGCACCGCTGCTTTCGGAACCAGCGCCCCCCTCCACAGTACCGCTGCCAGCGCCTCCCTCCTCCGCGCCGCTGCCTTCTTCCGTATATCTAGCGGCGCGTCGGCGCTTCTTTGCCGGGCTGCGCATCTGGATTCCACGACCAACACGAGGGTGAGGCCGCTCCTCTCCGTTCTTCCACATGACATGCCAGATTTGGTGGCATGTCATGGTGTTTCCTGGGTAGTGGCCCGGCCGGACTCGGTCACAGAGGTAGACACTGTGCATGAAGAAGTACTATTAGTCAAAGTACGATTGCATAGGCCACTGTCACACTTACTACTTGTTGCCGTCGCTGCATGCCTCGCAATAGAACCTCGCTGCACTGCGCTGGCCGACCTTCTGCTTGCGAATCGAGCAGACCTTGCACTGGTGCTGTGGCCTCTTCCGAACACCTTCCCGGATCTGGGTCCACTCTGGAAACTCGGTCAATTTGTGGGCAGCTGATATCGAGGCCACATTTTGGTCGGAAGGTGCTGGAGAAAATGTCTGCATGATAATAAACGAGTCAGATACGATACAACATCTACCACATGATCGCCGGCAAACATGTAGTATATACCTCATCAATGAAGTCAGCCGAAGTGACCTGCAAAAGCTGCGCCTGTAACTCTGCTAGAAACTCGGCATGATCAACACCTTCACCAACCATTTTCCGAGCCTCACGGAAAATGATATAGGCATTCACGAGTGCCATGTCGACTAGGCCTAAGAAGACCGTCTTGTAGTACTTTCGAAAGCGCACCGAGAGTTGCAGCGAATAGCGCTGTAGCCTAAGCTGGTAGTGGATATCAACCCCGCCCATCCAGCGATGATAGTCGCGCATCGCTGATGGGCAGGGTATGATTTCCTTTCTGCCGCCACATAGATGCCGCCCTTCGATGGTACAACAACAACAGCATAAGTTAGGAAGCCGTCGTCACTAAGACACGACCCAAAAGTAACTTACCGCAGTTTTCAATAGATGTACTGCTGCCAGTCGAGAGAAGGTAGACAGGAAGGCGGTCCCACCAAAGCATTACCTGTAGAAGATCGCAGCCCTTTGCGACGGCGATCGTGCTGGTCCCGCGGGGGATATGAGTTGGACGAGTTGCTGCTTTGGTCACGAGGGCTGGCGGAAACCCTTTCCTGTTTGGCTGTATAGTGCCAACCGTGTATACATTCCGAGCCAGGAGCTGCAAAGCTAGCTGGATCGACGTATAGAATCGATCCGTCACCACAGCGTGGTACACACCTTCTTCTGGGGCAGGAATAACTTCATGCAGATTACGGATAACCGCTGCAGGGCCAGAGTTCGGGTCTGCTAAAAATCGGGTCGTCGATTGATCTCCGAGCTCGTCTGAGTGCTGCTTAGTTCCACAAAATACTTCCAGACTTCGATGCAGCACAATACAACATTCCAAACAATACAGAGGTAGACAAATACAACATGTGAGACTTAGCCAAAACAAAAATACTCCACGATGGAGGCCGTCAAACTACGTACCGTAGACAATACGCTGTGTCAGCACAGCATGTCATAAACAGTTTTGTGCCCCATTTGTGGGGCTTGTCCTTCTTAAATTGCCTGGTCACGTTGTGACGACTTCTTGATGGAATCATGGCCTCGTCGAACGACACAACGGGAGGAACGTTGTATCCCCTTGCAAACGTCTGCTGTAGCGTGTCCACTACGGAGCGGACTTTCCAGGCGCGGTCCGTTTCAGCTCTCGGGTCTGTGTTGTCGGTAAAATGCAGGTTTTGCATGATGCGCTCAAAGCGCGACTTCCCCACGAAGTCGCCAAATGTGCATTTTGGGACAGCGCCTACCCAGGTCGTTCCCCAGTGATCCGCAAAACGGCGCTTGTGAGGGACCAACATCCTCGCGATAAGGAGCCCGTTACAATGCACAATGTCCTCTGGCTTTATTACCTTGTGTTTCTTGGTCTCCCGCAACATCACAGCTTCCCTAGTCATCTCTGCATCATCAGCCACTCGCTTCGCATGTATTCTGTCGACCCGTCCATTGAGATGCTGATGATAGTATCGATTACTCTCAGTAGCTATCCGGCGCCAAAGCCGACGAGGCATGAAGAAGAAGAAGAGTTGTAACGGGGACTCAGCTACTTCAATCGCTGCCTCCGTTGGTCTATTGTCACCACTGTATAGACTCGGGTATGGTTCTGCTTGTTCAGGATGCGATGCGGTATCTAAACATCATACAACATATACCACATTAGTTTCATGTTGTATATACATCATCTCACAAACCTTGCCAAACTCCCAGCCGTCTACTCGCATCTTCTTCAGAGCAGCATCATCCTGCGCGAGCGCATGCATCTCGTCTTTTGTCAGCGTGTTCCAATTGTTTGTGGTTGTGTTCCAGTCACGTCGCAGCTTGCCGATAGCTGCCTGCAGACGTCGCTTCTCCAGCTCTCTTTGGGCTTTCCTCTTGTCACGATTGAGGAGCGCTGCACCGTCCAAACTTTCATCACTACCACTTGAAAGAATTTCATCTGCATCTTCGCTGAGAAGGTCGTCGTCCGTGTGCTTTGCAGACAAGTCCTGCTCCTCAATATACCAGTCATCCGAATCTTCGCCTTCGCCATCCAAGTCTGAGTTGAGAGCTTCATTATCATAATTCAACGGATGCATTCATAGCTGGAGCGGAAGACGTGAGTGGCTCAGTCGTATCCATACATAAAACCCTGTCCCAAAGTAGTTCACATCACGCGTCAATATACATCTTCTATGCGTTCACACATGCAGTATATATATCATCGCTGAAGCTACCTGGCCGTTTGATGTCTGGTTGGAGGCAGGGCTGTGGCTTCGAGTGGTATTGGTGGTGATCTGAAACAACATAACATCAGATACAACATGAACACAATTAGTTAATGTAGTGTGTTCAGCATGTCGAGATCACGTACTTTGATGCAGACAACATACTCTCGTCTGCATCTGAATCCTCAACTGGTTCAGCAAGGTGCGGACTGGCGGTTTTCTTCTGCTTCTTCGCTGCGGGAGACTTTGACGATTCTTTCCTCCTTGCTACTGCTAGTGCTTTCAGCGCTGCTTGGCGCTTCAGCCCCGCTGCGTTCTTCGTCGACCACGTGCGCACGTTCCCTTGCTTTCTCGGCATCACGTCGTGCAGATATAGACTTCACACGGGCTACAGCTTCCATTTCTTTGAACGCGTTCCTTTCCTTCGCCAAAGCTTCGCGCTGGGCCTTGGTCATCTTCTTCTTCCCCTTTCCAGGTTTTTTCTCCGCTTTGGCCTTAGCTGCGAGACGAGCTGCCCGCAGCTTCTTTGCCGCTGCAATGTACGATGCCGTCTTTCCAACAGGTGGTCGGCTCGGAAGCGCCGGAATGGATTGCCCACGAGTCATAGCCATCGTCGTCTGCCTTACCTTCGTCGCGGCCACCGTAGTCGTCTGCGTTGCCCCCGCGGCCTCGTTCCCGAAGTCAGCACCCGTCTCCCTCTCTCCGTTCAGGTATGCTGTGTGTTGGGCAGTCAAGCGCACCGATCCTCCGAGCTTTTGCCTTAGTGTACTCGTGAATGCTAGTCAGGGTCGCACGGATCTATTTTAAAGTATAAAAATAAAGACCGAGCTTGTCCAGCGCTGTGTCGTGTGGTCACGGATTATCATTGCCCCGAGGCTAAGGTTTAGTGAGCGACACGTGACCAGGGCTCCCGATTATGGCATTGTTATTTAATGGGAACCCTCTTTAACCATAAATAATGGCATTGGACAGCTAGTGTCATCACATACATTATGTCATGTACTGCGCACAAACAATAAATAAGAGCATAATGTAAAGCAAACCAACACCATGTTTATAATTAGCGAGTGGCCTCGTCGACAGTCTGAGCTGACCAATACTCACCATTTTGG